TTACTCATGTCTATATCCCTGGATATGTTCTCTTTTTGTTGTTGTTTGTTTTTGAACCAGATCTAGTGGTGCATAGGGCTTATTCCCAGTTCTGTGCTGGGGGGTCATTTCTGCGGTGCTCAGGGGACCTTAATTGGTGTGTGGATGAAATAGGGGTTCGCAGCATACAAGAAAAGTGTCTTAACCTCTACACTATTTCTCCAGCCAACATCTGGTCAATTTTTTAAAATTTAACCATCATAAGATACACTATTTGGACATGTTTTACAAGTGTTTTCCCCTCTGTTTTAGGTAAATATTAAGCAGCCCGAACTCTAAATGATGATCAGGGTAGTTCACTTTCAGGACTTATCTTGGCTCTGTACTGAGACAAAGCAGAATCCTGTTTTTTACTTCCGTAAATGGTGCTCTTTTGACTTCTTTCCTCTTCACCATTCCTTTGCTACCCCAATGTTTTCTTCTTGAGAGCAGATAATATTATTCTGGGGTCAAAAGAGGTGTTCTCCAAGAACTGGAACTTTGCTTTTCAAGGGGGAATGCTGCATGTAATTCTGTGTATCTCATGGTTCCCCATGCTTCATGCTGGAAGTAGTTCCCTTACACAGGGCTCCCAAACTTGTAAATTGGAATTGAATATTGTCCTGATATTATTACTGTCACTGTCACTGTCCTTCTATTGTTCATCAATTTGCTCGAATGGGCCCTGATATCATGGACATAAATATTTGTGATTCACACTAGGATCTGAACAGTTTTGAGGTTGTGGTTTCTGTTTCTTTGTGGTTGTATGATTGTAGAAGGAAGTGAAAAAACCCCTGAGTGTTTGTGAGGGAGCAAAAGAGAATGAAATTAGTCAGGTGAATAATAATCTTACAAAATACTTTTAATGTTCAAATAATTTTGTAACACTAAACTCCAAAATTTAGATACTGGTTTTTACTGAATTTAACCTTTATTTGTCACTTGTTCTATTAATTTAGGACTCAGAAAAATAAGCATCCAATCTTGAATTTGATGACAAGTCAGGAATGAAAAAAGGATTTTTGGAATTCTAAAAATTTGGTATATTCAATATTTTTTTTATTTTGGAAGCTGTTTAAAAGCAAAAAAAAAATTTCACTCATTCGAGCTTGTCTATATTATCTGATATGGTATTTCCTTGTACTACTTCCGAGAAAGAATGTTCTATAGGCCAATATTTGTATTCCTGGAAAATGTGTTTTGGGCATAAAATAAATATGGGGTTAAGTGGGTTATTTACTGCAGGATTTATGTGTTGAAATATACTATGAAGCATTTTATGAATTTGTCTTAGAAAAAAAAAATTCCCTCTTCTACCCCTTTACCCGAGCAAGGCTTATTAGTAAATCTTGAAAAGCAATATTGGAAATTTCTATGTAATTATTCAAAGAATGAGAAGGACTCACAGGAACTGTTAGGGAATACCTAAGGGTTAGGGTAAGAAACTGAGTTTACTTGCTTTCGAAAAGTTCACATGAAGGAATTATAATGTTTTGTATATGCCTGGTACTTAAATGTAAATTGCATCTCAGATCATCGATGAAAATAGCTACCAAGTCTCTTAGTTTTTGCCTTTTTTAGTATGATGGAGCAAATAGTTGCTTCCTACTGCAAGTCTGAGAGCACTGACTTGAAATCTAGAAGATTGAAATTTATCATGTTTCTATTATCAGTATGAACTTGAATGAATCTCAACTCAGTCATTTTCCCATTTGTAATACAGAAATTGAAGTCAAAGTTCCAAAGATATTTTAAGATAAAATCATACCAGAACTATATCATTTCCCCAAAATAAAGATAGCTCTAGGTAATTGTTAGGTCAATGGCAATTGCAGTGTTGTTATCTTGTCAGTACTGGCTTATAGTTACACTGCACTATAATATCAATAAGTGATAGCTATATTTATTTTTTCAGTGTTTTTTTCCCCCCATCTGGTTAAAATACTTCAACTCTTTAGCAAGTTTTAACTTTGGCTTCAAGTCACTGGAGCTATTTGGAAGGCAGATGGGAAAAATTTTTACTTCATTTTCATGGGATAAAAGGTTAAACAATTTTCCTAAGGTGTATAGCATGCCAGCAATTAAACAAAGATGATAAGACTTGAGAACTTTGTTTACTACTAAACCAAAAAGTATTGGTTCCTAACTTAATTAAACTTCTTATTTTAAGCATTTTGTAAATCTTAGCCAAACAATTCTAGATAGCTCATGTTTTATTCTAGTTTTTACCTTGGCTCTGTTTTCACTTTGTTTGTCGAGCTTTTCATATAATTTTAACAGTGGCATGCATATACTCATATAAAAGTCATAGGGATTAACATAATTTAGGTCATATTTTTTGATATATGAATAAAATTTATAAATGGAAGGTCACATAGATTTAAAATAAGAGTAAACGCTCCTAGTTACAGAACAAATGGTTTTAACAAATAATTCCTACCAAGAAACTCATTAATAGTTTTTGAAAGGAAGCAAAATAGTCAAGGAAAACATTAACAGCTCATATTTCGCTTGCTTTTTCTTTGAAGGAGAGAAAAATCCTGTTAGTATTCTATAAGAAAAGGAGAGGAAAGATAGTTTTCAGATGGGATTTAAGCCAGAGCGGTCTCTTATGCCCAGGAAGATCAATCAGGGTAAATGAGTTCTCCATGTATTATTACCTAAGGGTAGAGAAAATTGAAGATGAAATTCCCCCCACCCCCCCAACCACACACACACTTCTTTGACCTTGCTGCATAAATATGATGTGAAAAATATATGTGGAATTTGATAGTGGTCTTTTCCATTAGTCAAACCTTGAGAATTTTAACTCTTTGAGGCCATTCGAATTTGGGGTAAATGACACACTTTCCTTCACATTTAATATTATTTTCTTTTAAACAAAATCACATTTGCAATCATGACTTTAATGCACTTTGATTTGCAGAGAATCTCAGCACTCTCGGCCCTGTAAAAACAAATGCCCAACTCTTGTTGCTGCACTCAAGGATGGCAGTAATAAAAGTGGTTAGAAAATCAATTTAAACTGCACTTGTACTTTACCAAGAATCCTGTGACACTTACAGTGGTAAGAGTTATGCTTTCCAAATATGTGATCCACTTTTATAAGCAACTAAAAACCCTACAGCTTCTGTCTCACTTCAAGCAAGAATAAATGACCACAGCAACTTATTTACAGAATACCTGCAATGTGTAGGATAGGAAAAGTAAGATCAAGAAAGATAAACAATGTACTGTGAAACCCATGTTGCTTTAACCTAATAACTACTGTTAGATATATATGAAAAATATTTTAGTTCACATTCTTAATATTTTACAAAACAGAAATTTTCCTAAGCAAGAAGACTTGAGGAGAAGGAATCTTACTCATTTTATAAAATTTTTATTATCAGGGAAAGGGATAATGCAGCAGGTAAGACTTGCCTTGCACATGGCTTACTGAGTTCAAACCCCAACATCCTGATATAGTCCCCTAGAGCACCACCAGGAGAGTATCCTATGTGCAGAGCAAGGAGTAACCCTTAAGCATTGCCAAGTATGACCCCCAAATAAAACAAAACAATAAATAAATTCCTGTTATAATACTTAATACAAAAGTGTTTCACTAATAAAAATTTAAAAAAAGAAATTAATGAACTCTCTTGAATAAATTAATATATGCATACCTGAAAAAAAAAGTTGTGGTTTGAAGAAGACATGGATGGAAACTCTTAAGTTACATAAGCCTCAGTTTAATTATACAACTTGAGTTGAAAGAATTTCTACATGAAATAGAATTTCTAAACATATTGCAGGGGGAAAAATAACAAAACAGTTTGTGGTGATGTATTACATTTTGTTTTATAACATAGACCTAAACTATGTTGTTTCTTCCTCCCCCCCCAGTAATAGATTTGTTATATTTGATTTTCATATCAGAGAAGGTTTAAGGGGGAACCATTACTCTTTTGCTTGTGATTCTCGTCAGCTTATGGTTTCCTTAAACATTAAGAAAACCTGAGAATTAGCACTGAAGCACCTGGAACTTCCGTCTTTTGATAATGCTGAAGATGGCTGAAATTTAAAACAGTTTAAAACCAAAGAGTAACTCCCATTTTAACATCTCATTAGAATACAATCTAATAGTCTTGCTCAGGGTTATATAAGTTTCCTAGAAGAAGTCACTTTTATAGCAGGTAGGGCATTTGCCTTCCACGTGGCTGATCTGGGTTTGATTCCTCCTTCCCTCTCAAAGAGCAGGGCAAGCTACTGAGAGTATTCCGCCCACACGGCAAAGCCTGAAGCTCCACGTGAGGTATTCTACATGCCAAAAACAGTAACAACAAGTCTCACAATGGAGACATTACTGGTGCCCACTCGAGCAAATAGATATACAAAGGGAGGACAGTGCTACAGTGCTATGGTGCTTGCTTCTTAGTAAGTCCAAATTCTGAAGTGAATCACCAACTTGCAGATTTCTGTCTGATGGGAATGCAAAGGAGCACAAACTGCTGAAAGAAAAGCCACAAAATTATATTTTATTCCCTTATAGGGCTGGAGGGATAGCATAGCTGTAGGGCGTTTGCCTCACGGGCCTGGCCCGGCAGACCCAGCTTTGATTCCTCTGCCCCTTTGGAGAGCCTGGCAAACTAAGGAGAGTATCTCACCTGCATGGCAAAGCCTGGCAAGCTACCTGTGACGTATTCGATATGCCAAACACAGTAACAACAAGTCTCACAATGGAGATGTTACTGGTCCCGCTTGAGAAAATCGATGAACAACAGGAGGACAGTGCTACAGTCCAAAATAGCACATTAATTAGTTTTGTCTTTGTAGTTCTGAAATTTATTTCATAATTCATCTAATGTTGTACATAAAAGAGAAAAAGAAAAATAAGATAGACTAAAGGGGAAATGAAGAGATTATATATCATATATCTGATAAAATATTTATATGTAAGCATAGAAATACATTGTGGGGTTTATATATAATATATAACTAAACATTGTATGATAGATGATATATATTTTATATATTATATATAACTGATTTATTTTTGAACTATTAACTAACCATCCTTGTCAAGGGGAGTGCTAACCTTCTCTCCTTTCATACAACTAACCATAATGCTGGTTCTTTCTTTAATGACATAAATAAATATCTCTGAAATGTGTTCACTATAGACTTTTCTAACAGTCAAGTTTATAACTTTTTGTAAATTGACCTCTAACCCTGTTTTGAATTTCTTTTTCTACTTACCTAATGACTTGCCTATTGGATTTAAAAGTACATATACAAAATCATGCATAAAATTTATTCATTATTTTGATGAGAAAATAAGAGAAAACTACAAAGAAACTAGATATTCATGTCATTTTAATCTAAAATCCCTATAGTCTCTTGATAGGAAATATTTATATTGAACTGCTTCCTAGTTGCAAGCTGGTTTTCACTCTGAAAGAGAACAGCAAGAGTCCACTGAAACACTTACGTCACAGAAGGACATATTCAAGGGTAAGGGACTCTTAAGCATAATTTGCATTGAATTACTAGATCTGCCACTGCTGAGAGGGAACACCTTTAGTAAGGATTTAGGCAGTATGAGCCTGGAATAAGCGAACCAGAGAACTTTTCCCCCACAGGCAACTGGGCCATTTAGAGAACCTCTTGCAGAGTTTAACACACAAGGGCTCCTGAAGATGTCAAGAGATCCAGTCCTAAACCATCTTAAGAAGAAAATTCTTCAAAACAGAATCACAAAAGAATGGTCACTGTCACTGTCCTCCAGTTGTTCATAAATTTGCTTGAATGGGCCCAGTGACGTCTTCATTGTGACAATTGTTACTGTATTTGGCTTATCGAATACATCACGGTAGCTTGCCAGGCTTTGCCATGCGGGAGAGATACTCTCAGTAGCTTGCCGGGCTCTCCCACAGGGACGGAGGAACCGAACTCAGGTAGGCCGTGTTGGCAACTTGCAAGGCAAACGCCCTACCCGCTGTGCTATCAGGGCAATCTGGCTGCGACATCTGTCACCCCATTGATTGTCAGGGTTGATTTGACCGAACTGGCTGGCTAGGCGGGTGTCCCCTTCCTCCCTCACCGTTCCACAAAAGAATTATTTAATGAAATCTTTAAATCTTTTAAAATAAAATTTCTCCCTAATATAGCCCCTAATTTATGAAAAGAGTAGCAAAAGGAGGACAGAAAGGCATTAGGTATAATATATTCCCTCCCCAATTTAAATTCTTATGCTAGGCAGGTGTCTATGCAGTTAGTCAGGTGACTATTGATAATTAGTAAACTGGATATGAGATAGAAGTTTTATCTTACATTACTATACTATTTTCTGGGTTTTGGACCACATACAACACATAAGTGTTCAGAACTTGCTTCTGACTCTGCATTCATGAATTACCTGTGGAGGGATTTGATGGTTTAATATGGATATCTGTGGATCCAACTTGGGTCTGTCGCATGAAAGGCAAGTACCCAACCCACTGTACTATCTCTCCAGTCTTAGATATGACATGGAGGTTTTTAAAATGGAATAGACTGAACCAGGTGTTTACAATATATAAATAGGAATAGAAGGCTTTGAAATCTGCCTGAAAGATTATTTGCTATTTAAGGAAAAATAAGAGGAGATTCCATGAAGCATGGTTAATATCAGTGATAGAAAAAAAAGAAACCATATTTATTTGCATTATGTAGAACTTAAGCTATTTCTAATAGATATAATTCATATATAAATGCCTTCAGTGCTCAATGAGCACAATGAAAGAGCTAAGAAAATAACATTTGTTGTGAAGTTTTTACCCTGAAATATGTTTTGGATATATTCCCCTTGTTTCTAGAAATAAGAACTTACTAAATTGAGATGTTTTGAATGCTCTGCAACTGCAAACTTCTGCAGTGGACACTAAATCTAAACAAATATAAATTAGTCCTCCAGTATAAGCGATACTTATATATCAGGTAGCATTTCAAGGGTGTTAACTGTGAAAAGCGTAACAACTAAGAAAAGATAAATATCTGAGGATGTGACTAGTTTTAATGTGTGGTGAGAAATTGATCGAAATACCCTGTTTCTCCTTGATATAAGAGTAGGGTTAACTACTGAACTAGATTGGGGTAATCTGGTGAAGATACAGAGTAATAATAGAAGATATTAGCAGGTGATGGCTAACAGCCTACCACCAGGCAATGACAATAAAACATTTTGTTGGGAGGCTGTCACTCATTACAGAAAGATGGAAAAGAAAAAGAAAAGAAAAACAAAGACACTGTATCCTAATTCTCTATACTCATTAATAGATGTTACAGTTGTAATTTCAGTTCAATTTATGTCTTCTACTTTTAGAAATCATGAGAAATTAATCATTTCTTTTATCAGACAGTGTTAAAAAATGAGATATTTATGATATAAGATAAAAGGGACAAATGAAAAGTACTTTTATATTTGTCCACACAGGACACTGGTAATATTGTAAATTTTCTAATATTAAGAAATACCTCTTTTTCTAGGCAGGATGGGACGGGGGAGATGGGGGGTGGGGGGGGATGCTGGGACCCGTGGTGATGGATGACGGGCACTGGTGGAGGGATGGGCACTTGATCATTGTATAACTGAAACCCAAGCACAAAATTTGTAAGCCTATAACTGTACCTCATGGTGTTTCACTAATAAAAAAAGAAAAAAAAAAGAAATACCTCTTGGTTTTGGATATTGCTTGTTATAGTTAATTTTATTCATCAGCCTCACTGGACCATGGGTGCCTGGATAGCCATTCAACATTACTGCTGTGAGATGTCTACAGAAGGAATTCGTTTTTAAATAGAGCATTGGGCAGAACAAATTGGTGGGTAGGTATCTTTCAATCTGTTGAGGGTTGAATATAAAATGTAGATAGAGGCTGAATTTCTTCTCCGTCTGTCTTTTGAGCTAAGACTGGTTTCTCCTACCATCAGTTCTCAGACCTGTACTGGAATCTACACTGTTGTTTTTCTTATGTTTCCATCTTGCAAATGGAAGACCATGAAACTTCTCAACTTCCATAATTGTACACAAAAATAAATTACAATATCATCTATCTATCATTTACATCCCTGTCATTTTGCACCTTGCTGAAATGGAAAAATTAACTTCATACAAAATTAATATAAATTGGAGGTTTTGTCAATTAATAAAACAATACTCTTACTACTGGTTGTCTTAGTGTAGTTGTCTGAAAACTATGGCATTCAGGCTGAATTATTGCCAAATTATTTTTGTCAAATAAGGTTTTATGGAAAACAGCAGGTCCAGTTATTTATGTGTCATCAATAAATTCTTTCATTTTATAGTTACAGACTTGAATAGTTACAATACAAAATCTAAAACATTTGCTTTCTGGCATTTTACAAAACACATTTGTTGATCTTTGCCCTAGAACAGGAAGGTTAGAAGTATTTTGCGATGAATAAAAGATAAGAGAATAATTAGAGGCACCAAAAAAAATTCATTCACATGTGGAGAATTCCTGATTTTTGTGTATGAGAAAACACAGTAACATACACTTAATTACTGATAAAATTAAGACTAACTATGAAATTAGTATCTCAGTAACTATTTACTATAATATGAATTCCATAAGATTTTAATTGATGACTATAAATGGTACAAACCCAACCTTTATATTCCTTTTTAACTATTTTTTAAAAACCTGTACTAAAACATCTGGCACAGAAAGGAGAAAGTGATTTAAGTATTATCTGTTTAATTTGCTAACCTTCCTATGCCCTTTTAGAAACAGCTTGTTCAAAGTCCATAGAGATTTGGATACTTAGAATAACCCTTCTGTATCACTTTTCTAAACTGAATTTCACTACATGCAATTTGTATTTCTCTGAAATGAGCAACCACAGGGGTTTGAAAATTCTAGCACAGATTTATTCTAAAATGAAAAAAAGATTGGATATTGTCCAGAAACATGTGATGTACCCAAAACAAAGTGACATTTGCTTGGTAAAGCTGCTGAAGTATTACCCCCTTACTACTTTTCAAGATTATGAACTATGTATTTTTATAAATAGATTTCCATAAACAATATATAGACAGTAGTTATTAACAGAGAATAATCAACAAACCTACTATAGTGATGATATTTTATTCTTAGTTTTAATTTTTTTCTTGTTAACTCTAAAGTGTACTACAGTACTGTTCATTCACTGTCCTATTCTGGTTTAGAGTGCTTCCTCAAGGGCTATCTCTTATGTTGATTTTATTTTTCACATGTTGAGAAAAGTGAGTTTTTATCCCCAAGAGATATAGATAGAATGTACAAGTATGTGTGTGTAAATAGAAAAGTTCTGTCTCTGTCATTCTATATGCTATCAGGAGGCATCTCCCAATGTTTACCTAATTTCAAACTACAACTATTATATTATAATAAGAAATTATTATTCATATTTTAAATTATATTCTCAAGTGAAAATACATGCATACATGCTTTATATAGCACTGAAACATTATTGACTGCATTTTGAGAAACAAAGCAGAGAGATAAGAGATTTTTTGTAATTATGACTCTTGAACATAGATGGTATGCTATTTTGAAAATAGGATATTAAAACTTGCAGACCCAAAAAGAAATTTATCGAATAATTTTTTCACTCACTTTGTAATAAGAAAGAATGAATACTGATATGTTATTCAGATTGATCTGCTATTTTGAAAGTTCTCTTGTGTCTAATCTCCTTTCTGGGAAAATAGGACAAAGAAAGAGGTGGCATTTAAGTATCTGTCCGGCTAGATTTGGGAATGAACTCAAATAAGATATGGATAAAAATGACAGAAAGGGTAATAAGTGTTGGAAGAGTCTGGAAGATTTTGAAGATAACCATTTTATAATGTGATAGAATAGAGAAGAAAAGAATCTTTGGTTTTCCCCAAGAGCTAGGTGAAAATAGGTTGTATTAAGTCAATTGATATATGCCTTATACAAATCAAGACCCTTGCACTTCAGTTTCTCTAGAATAAGTGGTAGGAAAGCTGTGTCAGTCAAGGTACTTTAAGTATGGTTATGTGTCGTCTGGGGACAGGGTGCCAATTATGGTGCTGGTTCTTGGCAATATATTT